GAATTCACATAAAGCTCTGTCTGTTGCCCTAACTGCCAGCTAATAGTTTTGCTATGCTGTTAAAGATTATTAGCTGCAAGTAGATTATTACCTATAAGTCTTCTGGCATTCTGGTCAATTGCTAGAACAGAAAATTTCAAAGATTCTCAAGACTTGAAGATTGTATCTTATTTATCTCTGCATTCTTCAGAGACTAACTTGATGTTAGTATTGTAGGTATTCAAAAAATAATGGTTAAATGAGTCATGAATTAATTGAAATATATTCATTCAGTTTATTTTCTAGTTAGAAATGACATTTTTAAATACTTATGAATAAATATAAAATTTTAAATATTTGAATATGGTAGTGATTGCACAGTGAAGTAACACACATACATCCATACATCATTAGATAACTATTATACTCATTCACTGTTCCCAAATTTATTAGTTTATTAAGGGGTAGATGAACTATACTCATGATCCAATAGCATCCCTAAAATGGCTTTGACTTTGGTGCATCTCTGAAACTCAATCTGAAAATAAATTTTTAAGTGGTAGACAACATTTGGGGGTGGAGAGACTTTATTAGGTGTCTGATCATTTTAAATCCAAACATCAGCATAAGGAATCTGTAAATGAAACATCAAAGCCAGTGACTCTGCTAATGAATGTCTCAGATGTTTGCCAAAATAAAATCTAATAATAAGGAAACTTCATGTAACACATTACCACTTACAAAGCATTTTTCTAAGTTTCTCAAAGTGCTTGTTCTTCAAATATCTTAAACACAACATACTTGAAATCAAAACATAGTTCTGGTGAAATGTCATATTATGTAAAAATTTTTATATGAAAATAAATGTATCTATTATGGATGAAAAAAGCAAAATGTGTATTCATTATCAGATACGAAAGAGGACACCTCAATAAAACAGCTCTCCAATGTTTTCTTTGGGGTTTTTCCAAATTCTTGTTCTATTTTCCATGAACGATAGTAGTGAAAATTTTGAGAAAAACTACTCTATGTTATCTCCTTTCATCTTCTGGAGAGTGCAATGTAGTTGTGTTCATGCCCAATTTACAAGTAAACAAGTAAAGAAACTCAGAAGTTAACTTTCTCAATTGTGGAGGACAAGAATTTGAAAGGACATTCATATCTTCCACAAGGATTCCCTCTTATGCTTTGCAAACTCAACTATTCATAGCACATTATCAACATCCTAAATCAGATGAAGAGTTCTCTGGAAAAATGACTGTGAATATGGATTGCTGTATATCAAGTATATAAAAGAGGGGTATAATTATATTAATTTTCAACCTACTTTCTGTTTACCATCTCTCCTTGTAATCAACATTCTTCCTTCTTCATTTAAAACATATTTACTTTCTATCAAGTATAATGAAAATATACAACAGTAATTCTCAAAGAGTGTTACCTGGATCACAGCATCAACATCTGAAAACTTTCAATAAGTGCAAATTCTCTGGCACCACCCTGGATTTACTGAGTCCAAAACTCTGGGGATGGAGCAACAAGCTATGCTTTTACAAGTTCTCCAAGTGAGTCAGATGCCAACATCTGAGTACCATGTATTTGGAATAATTCTACTTGGACATCACTTTCCATCAACCCTCATATCACTTGAGTAAAATGAAAATTGGAACCGATAGACTATGCAGTATGTATATGTGCAAGAAAAACCATATAAAATTTCCCAATAGGTGGAAAATCCCTCATCACTTCATAAAAAAGATTGCTAGATGGATGTTTAAAATATATCATTTTTCATGTTTTCCTATCTTGACAAGCTATCTGATTAACTGACCACTGTCTCAGTACTGGTACCAATTCTGTCTATAAAAAAGTAGATATAAACGACAGCTAGATGACTGATGATAGGTTATAGGTGATAGATCAATAGATTGAACATATAGAGAGAATATAAGCACACCTCTTCTAGCCCCTTAAGATGCACAGAGAGGGCATTAACTTTTTAAAATGTCTATATTTGAAGTGTATCTTGGGAACTGAAATAAAGAAATATGCTGTTGATAAAAAACAATGTCAGGACAGAGCCTCAGAACACAGGGAAGCTGGGAGGGCTGTCCCATGAAGTGTAGAGAAACAAGAGGAACACATGAGCAGAAGGCAGAGAACTTTGACTTTTTAGCAAAGCATCTAGTTATTACTACATGAACTCAGGGCCAGGTCTTATTGAATGAAGAAAGGTTTTGAGAAGATCAGCATGAATAATAACTATTTCATGGACACTTCCACTTAAGGATACTTCAAGAATTGGCCATACACCTGCAAGCTATGTGGAATTCTATATGGAGTCTCATCACTGTGACTACCAAGTAGGCCCTAAAGACCTTCCATTCATCTCCCTCCTTCTATGTATCTGCAGGATAAACAGGAGGTGTAGTTAAATTACCCCCTCAAAAAAAATAATCACAAGCTCCCAATGTCTATCTCCATCTCTATCTCTACCTCCTTATACATTACTGCCTTAGAGGTCAAGACCACCTGCTTTGGAGGCAAGTTAAACGTTTACTAGTGGATTGAAATCTTCCACAGCAAGTACATGTGCAATCTCATAATTCAGAATTCAATATGCTCTTTGGCACACTTATATTTTAAAACATAGTGAAGTCAACAAAATAAAGGATGGAACTTTACTTCAAGAGATTACAGACTCTAATTTCAACACTAAATCCAGAAAGAAGATTTGCTCTAAGTGTTGCAGGAGAGGGGAGTAGGGCAGAATGGAGAGTGGAAATAATATTGCCAAATGGCTGTGAGTTAAAAGTACTCTGCCTCTGGGATTTTTAAAAATCTCAACCACAGTCAGGCACAGTGGCACATATCTGTAATACCCAGCAACATAGGAGGCTGAGGCAGGAGAATTGCAAGTTCAAGGTCACCTTGGGCAATTTAGTGAGACACTGTCTCAAAATAAAAAGGGATTAGAGTGTAGTTTGGTGATAAAGCATCCACGGGTCCCATCCCAGTACAATAAATAAATAAATAAAATCTTTATCACACTGCCTTCAAACAATTGTGAGTTCTTACACATCATTGCCTCTAAGACATCCTAACAGTATTTAGCAGTTGATCTGTAGCAATGCAGTAAAATACTGTCCCTGTTGGTAGTAATAGCACCATCTATTTAATTGGGTTTGAACAGAGCCTTCCCCTTACCCAGGTGTCAATCTACCCCTTTCAAGTATACTTTTTTCCACTCCTGTTCTGGCACTCTAGGAAGCAGAGAGATACTGTGGATATGAATTTGTGGTGTGAAATTTATATCCTTCTGGATATAATTTGGTTTTAGTTGGGAAGCTGATCACAGATCTAGGATCTGGCAAAGTTCCTTCCTCCAAACTAGCTGCACATTTATAGAGTGATTGGGAGAAGTGACAATATCACCTTGCTGATTTGACTTACCTTTGCCCTGTCATTAGATATAAAGTTGTATTTATTTCTAGGCAGAAAATGACTCCAGGAAGAAAATGAGCTACTGTAAGAGCTATGGTTGGGAGGAAGACATGAAAGGGTCTAAGAAGGAAAATAAAAAGTTTATAAGAAGAATCATGTTGTTTTTGTCAAATCTTGAGATTCAATACCTAAATGAACTGAAGTCAGGGAACAGAAGAGATTCTTGTACCCCACTATTGAAAGCAGTAACATTCTCAACAACCAAAAGGTAGGGACCACCAACAGATGAGTGGCTAAACAAAGTGTAATGTGTGTGTGTACGCGTGTGTACTTGCATCTCCAAAAGGACTGAAATTCTCAGACATGCTACAGACAAGGATGAACCTTGAAGACATTATCATTGTGCAACATGAAATCGGACAGTCACAAAAGAACCTATATTATATGATTGTGTCTATATGAGACACCTAGAGTAGTAAATTCATAGAGACAGAAAGCAGAGCAGTGATTACCTAAGACTGGGGAGAGGAGGAAAGGCAAGGTATTGTATAATAAGAAAAATTTCAATAAAGACCAAAATAAGTGGTTAAACTGGGTGCTTATGATAGGTTTAGTGAAGAATGGAGTCCAGAGAAATATCATAGGTCAAAAGAAGCGTGAGTTCAGTGTAATAAAGTGGGGGAAATACAGAAATAGTAAGGCCTGTTCTTTTTCTTTTCTTTTTATTTGGTGTTGGAAATGGAACCCAGGGCCTCAATGCTAAATTCTACCACTGAGCTACACTTCCACCCCTCAGATTGCTCTTAACACCCCTTTGTCTTTTTTTTTTTTTATTGGTTGTTCAAAACATTATAAAGCTCTTGACATATCATATTTCATACATTAGATTCAAGTTGGTTATGAACTCCCAATTTTACCCCAAATACAGATTGCAGAATCACATCGGTTACACATCCACATTTTTACATAATGCCCTATTAGTAACTGTTGTATTCTGCTACCTTTCCTATCCTCTACCATCCCCCTCCCTCCCCTCCCATCTTCTCTCTCTACCCCATCCACTGTAATTCATATCATCTCTCCTTGTTTATTTTCCCATTCCCCTCACAACCTCTTATATGTAATTTTGTATAACAATGAGGGTCTCCCTCCATTACCATGCAATTTCCCTTTTCTCTCCCTTTCCATCCCACCTCATGTATCTGTTTAATGTTAATCTTTTCTTCCTGCTCTTCCTCCCTGCTCTGTTCTTAGTTGCTCTCATTATATCAAAGAAGACATTTGGTATTTGTTTTTTAGGGATTGGCTAGCTTCACTAAGCATAATCTGCTCTAGTGCCATCCATTTCCCTGCAAATTCTATGATTTTGTCATTTTTTAGTGCTGCGTAATACTCCATGGTGTATAAATGCCACATTTTTTTTATCCATTCATCTATTGAAGGGCATCTGGGTTGGTTCCACAGTCTAGCAATTGTGAATTGTGCTGCTATGAACATCGATGTAGCAGTATCCCTGTAGTACGCTCTTTTAAGGTCTTCAGGGAAAAGTCCAAGAAGGGCAATAGCTGGGTCAAATGGTGGTTCCATTCCCAGCTTTCCCAGGAATCTCCATACTGCTTTCCAGATTGGCCGCACCAGTTTGCAGTCCCACCAGCAATGTACAAGAGTACCCTCTTCCCCACATCCTCTCCAGCACTTGTTGTTGTTTGACTTCATAATGGCTGCCAATCTTACTGGAGTGAGATGGTATCTTAGGGTGGTTTTGATTTGCATTTCTCTGACTGCTAGAGATGGTGAGCATTTTTTCATGTACTTATTGATTGATTGTATGTCCTCCTCTGAGAAGTGTCTGTTCAGGTCTTTGGCCCATTTGTTGATTGGGTTATTTGTTTTCTTATTGTTTAATTTTTTGAGTTCTTTGTATACTCTGGATATTAGGGCTCTCCCCTTTGTCTTTATAGATAAGGATTTCCTTAAATGTGTTTTTGGAGATAAGGAAGGGCACCTCTCGAATGAAGGGTCTTAGGACCCATTTTAAGGAAGGTCAGGAAGCCCTTCCTGCATGTGTTACTTCTTGAAATTCCTTCATCTTAAAATATTCAATAAACTAAGGTGCCATATCAACATTATGGAACAAAGTTATTCTAAACCTACAACAAGTAGTAGCGATTGTTGTTAGTAAATTATATAGGAGTGTTTGGATGGAATATTGAAGTTTAAAAAACTAACATCAGATTACTTTTAAGAGATGGAGGCAAGAAAACAAAAACTAGATGCAAGATGAGACAGAAAAAGGAGTCCACCTGATGGCCAGTGGCCAGCTGTGCCAAGGAAGAAGAAGAAGTAAGTGAGAACAGAGCTGGAAGGTCTGAGAGGGCAAATGTTTGGAAAGTTTAAAATGCAGAATTTATTCTGAGAATGGACATAATTCCTTGTGAATCTCGGCAATTCATAAAATCTCATTCTGTGATGTTCTTCCGTCTCTCTTAGTATCAATGAGGAGTACTATTGATCATGACAGGGAGGACTAATTGGCATTGGGTGTCCAGGAAAACTATTTTGGCTAAGTATCTTAGATTTGCTCAGAGAGGAGAAAGAGAAGACTGAAGAGCAGGTGTTGACAAGAGCAGCAGCAGGAGGCAGCCCACACAAGGGACAGTGTTGGGACAGGTTTCTGAGGGAAGATAGTTCCTGGCACCTACATGGTATAAAGTGCAGCATGATTTGGCAAACAGAGCCTGGAAGGAAAAGATAGAAGAAAAGATAACTGAAAGATAACAATGACTCTTTAATCTGGTAGCCAGTCAGAAAAGCAAGCCAGGAAGAAAACAGAAGATGGTACTGTCAAAGCAGAAGTATTAAGTTAGTACTTCCTTATAATTTATCAAGATGTTAAATGGAATCACCTATATCTTTTTAAGGTTGAAAAGTGTAAACAACAAAGACAAGGAAATAAGTTACAAAGAAAACTCCCAGAATTCTTTTCTCAAGGCAAAAGCTCCTGTTCATCTAAGCACACACTAACACATTCATGCTCTATGTAAATAGTTTACTTTTCACCCCCTGCAAAGCACTGGAGGGTTTGATTAAAACCTTCATTCATGACTTTGAACCTCACAATGTCTTAGTGCAGAAAAGCATCAAGTACCGCAGAGCTCCAGATAAGTAATGGGCCACATGCAGGTCTGTGGTTTGGCATTGGCTACCTTAATAATAGTGCTTGGTGCGCTCCATTCCGCAGACAAATGATGTGTTGAGATGTCACAAGACACCAAATAAATCCATGAAAACAAATGTCTTTCAACAGATTAATTTTGTCTTAAACTCTTAGCATGTAACAAAATAGATTTCCTGTGTTCTAGAGCACGGATTTTAAAGAGTACCGAGTTAGTATTCTCTCTTTAATGTTTTGAGCAAGTTTAAGGAGAAACAGGATTGTTTACCAGAACAAAATCCTTAAAAAAAAAAAAAAGATTCTTATCTTTCACTTAGGTTAATAACATACAACATGTATTTGTCAATCAAATTAGAATTACTGTCAGCCCATAATGCATTTTAGTTTAGCCAATATCAGTCAGTCCTGATTTATTTGCTTAATACAAATCTAATTGAGTTTCAGGCTGCTCTTCTCCTTTCAGCTGTTAACCGACCAAGTACATCTTTAATTTCCAAGAACGATGGTGTGGTAGCAGTTGAGAGGAAGAGCGATTTGCATAAGGCCCCAGAAGGGTGCCAAAACTCTTCACGCTTTAAACAACAGCCTTTATTATTCTGTAAGTGGATGTGTTGAATTTTCATGCTTTTGTTTCCAGTTCAGTCCTGACAGAAAAGAATAAAGTAGATTTTGCCAGCACCCCTGCTGTGCCCTGGGGGAGAAATTCAATGTGCCTCATTTGTCTTAATTGGAGAACCGCCCTCAGCACCAGCTTTTCCTATGAATACATTAGCATAACAGACAGCAAATCCAAGCCCACTTTTGTAGAAATAGTCTCCCCACCACACACACCTCTCATTTTTAAGACTAATAAAATCTGCAAGAGGGGAGAAGTACGTGTTTCATCTCCTGGATTTCTTATAGTTGCAGTTGTAAAATTCTCGTACAGGAGAGATGCATCAAACCTATTTTATCTCTGCACTGTTATTAGAGCCAGTCGTGAAGAATGTGATAAATATCATCCATGACAGAGAGCTGAAAGCTTCTCTTTATTCTTCATAATGTGCTAATCCTATATACTTGTTCTTTGACTGGTTATGCAGCTCTTTCACAGGGGAGAGTTGGAGATGAATGTGTCTAGAAGGAAAAGAAAAGAAAGAACAATTCTTACTAAGGTGAATTTATTAACACTAAAACAAACGCAGTTGTCTCCCTCAAACCAAGATCTTAAAACACTGTGCCAGTTCGTGGGAGAAAAATTACATTCATCTTCACGTTTTTCGAATTACAAAAGGGCTCCAAGTTCGGACAAACAGCCTGAGAGGTGTAAATCATTTCCCTAATCCAGGTTCTCGCAGTATCCGATTGAACTGATGGAATTTAAAAGTGAGCATTTCCAAAGAAATATTTTGTTTACATGTTCCCAAGACTGGTATTAATTCTTCCATCACATCTGTTCAACCTGCTTGCCATGGCCAGTAAGTGGAAGAGATGAAAAATGGGAAAAGATGTAATTTCCTTAAAAAGCATGGTTCACACATTCTCTTGGAAAAAAAAATGTCTACCTTAAAAAAAAATAAATAAATCCACATTTTGTCTTGATTTTCCACAGCAGGTCTCATTTACCTCGAAAGCATCTGAGAATTTTAAATAAGGTGGGGGCCAAGGGGTGCATGATTTTGTTCTTGTTTAGTTTGTTTTATTTTAGAATTATTTGTGCCTTCATTTAAAAACTAAGTACCTTGTGGGTCAAATCCTTGTGAGTAAATGGAAGGTGAAATAATTTTGGAATAATAATTTAGGGATACAGAAGTTCCCAGGGCCTAGTGAGACCAACCAACTCTTCCTTCTGGTTGTGTCTCCTGGCACGTTTCCTCTGGAGCCCAAAGGCAAAACAGGGATTGTCAATGTGCGCTACTCAGTCCTTCACTTTTTAAGCCTTCACTTTCCATTCCCTCATCCCCAGCGGGTGTACCAAGAGACTATGGTGAGTTGATGTCAAGAGCTAAGAATCAAATGTTTGCTTTCTTGTGTAAATGAATATAAAAAATAATCACCTGACTTGATCTGTCCTGCAAGAGGGTGTCAGCTTTTCACTTTACTACTAGCATCATTTACATTACAAAAATAGCAAGCAGGTTACCAGGTTAAGGTATTACAATATTTGAACATTGATGTGAAAAAATTTTGAAAGTTGAGATAGCATAAGAAAGTTGACAGGGATGTAAGACTCAAAAAACAAAATAAGTATTTTCTTTTTCAGAAAAAAAAAAAAAGTATGGGATGGTGGTTTGGGGATGAAGCTCAGTGGTAGAACACTTGCCTAGCATGCCCAAAGTCCTGGGTTTCATTCCCAGTACCAATAAATAAATAAATAATAGATAAATAAATAAATAGCATAGGATAGAGAGAGCCTGATGTGTTCACAGGGGACCATCTCTTTTACTGATGTGCAGGACAGGCTGAGCCTCATGAATCGAGTGTGAGTTCATATTCCAGACAAGACTTTAAGGAGAGTTAAGGGGGAGTTTTAAGGATGATTCAGAAACTCTCCTAATGTCTAGAATTTTGTTTAGAAAGCAGGAGAAACTATTTGAGAAAAATTAAAGACTGAATTAAAGCTTTTCTTGGGTGGTTATTGCTGTACTTAAATTTATTTTGCTGTTGAAGATTTTTCTGAACATCTGCTTATTGTGAGAGTAATATGTGTTTCATTTATCAAAACAAGGAAAATTCCAGTACTGATTTTTAAAAGAATAAAATCACTTATGGTTCTTTATATATTTATTTGGTTTTTGAAGGAAAAAAAAAAAAGCCCACATTCTTCATGAATATAATATGCAGATTGGAACTTTTGAATGAACTAATGAGGAAGGCTCTCTCCTTGATCAAGTCTGGCACTGCTAAGCTTTATTTTTCAATTCCATCCTGTCCTTGGGCATATCCTCAAGAGCCCAGTGTTAGCAAGAATCCTATCAGGTCAGTTCAGCCAGAATCTCTCATTTTCAATATCTCATCATCCTCAAGATCTGACAAAGTTCCTCAACCCCCAAGTGATTTCCCATCATCCTCACTTGAGGGTGAAAAAATTTTAGCACTGTTAAAAGAATAACTTTATGCAAAGTCAATTCAACAGTGTTTACTTGTTCATTCAAGGATTCATGAATTGGGCACCACTCAAAACTGGAAGAGCAAGGTTCAAAGAGCCCTGGGTTAGCAGCATGAGCAGAGGGCTTTACAGACTGAACTCAGAAGCAAAAGAAAAGCAAGGCTAAGGCTAGATATTTGCCTTATTTGGTGTGATCCTGTGGAAACTCTCTGTTTAGAGGTTAGTTGGCAGTTTCTGAAGGGCTAAGCTTGGGCTCTGTTTTACTGTTTATATTGATTTGGGTTTGGGTTTGCGTCCATAAGAGCCCAAGGCACTGGAGCTGTCTTAGCATAATGACCTCCCAATTAATTATCTTCACAGCACTAATATGACACTTTTATGTTCTCCCTCGATGTCAGTTTGCCACCCACCAACACCATCCTAGTTTAAGACGTGTCAATCAGATTTAATCTCTTTGGCAAGATGAATTTGCTGATAACCTACCTAGGCAGAGTTAAGAAGGTCGACTTTATGTGGTTCAACCATCATTTTTGATGCCATCACTGTTTCTGCAAATCAGTTTTATCCACAAATTTAAGCATTTGGATTAATGCCTGTTAAAAACCAGGCTACCGTGGGGGCAGGCTACTGTGGGGGGACAGATGGATGGGATGTTAACTCTCCCCATAGCCACAAAATATAAATTTATCTTGAAACCCTAAGGCAAAAATAATCAAGATGATTTTACATGGCATATTACTGTGGGAATTATATGGAATAATAATGATTACCTTCAGGAGAGAGGTCTTGATGTGGCTTGTCCCCCAAAATGAACTCCTGGTGTTCTTTTATGAATCTATACTTTTGACAAATAAATCTCAAGAGTTGTATAACTATTAATATGGAAAAATCTAGAATAATTGACTTTGGAAAGCACTATTTCAATTTTATAAATTTATTTATGCAAGTGCCTTAAGTGGCCAAAGCGCGAAAACCAAACCATACCAAGAGTAGACACCTTAATAGGACCACAGTCTAAGACCAACTATTCCTGAGCTTACAGAGTTCAAATAACAATAATCTAAGATCCTACATGATAATTGTTGAATGTTAACAAGTTACAGATGAGTACTGACTTGACGTTAACGAATTAACAATAACGTGCCATTTCCTGTAGTAACAGACATAATGATGAGCAGGAAACATTGGTAAGTTGTTTTGTACCTTGAAATTTCTCACCTTAAGGAATCTGTACCAAATTGGGCAAATGGGGGTTTCTTGTTCATTCAGGGAACACCCCAAGTATTATTTCCTCTTGCTCAAACTTCTTTGAAAGTTGACAGATACTCCCTTTCTGGCTTGATGACATCTTGGATTCTGCAGACAGAGCCAACCTAAAGTGCAAAAGTCACTGTGAGTCACCACTGCTTTACCTGTTGACAGGGTTCAGAACATGGTACCCTAAAATGTGGAACAAGTTAAGAAAATATCTAAACATGTCAGATATTGAAAGCTGAGGAATAAGGAATAATTTATATATTAGACACAGTAAAAAATTAATAATAATAATTAGTAAAAAAAATCTGGCACTAAGAGGACTGTGACTTCCCTCTCCTCCACTAAGGCCAGAAAACTGGAATACCCTGTGTCTGAAGGCGGAGGAACACCAAGAGGACTCTGAGTAAAAAGGCCTTGCTGTGTCACCTCCAGCTTGCTGTCCTTTGCTCATCCCTTCTGTTTTATCACATTTCCCCATGACTTTCCACTCTCCACAATCCTAGCACAAAAATATTCAGGCTTAATTATTTCTTGGGTCTTCATTTCTTTATGAAGCCTCCTATAAACAGCAAACTTATATTGCATAAAAAATCATTCTAAGGCTTTGTTCATGTTAATCTCTATTATGCTAGTCTGATTTATGGGACCCTAGCTTGAGAACCCAGGAGAAGGGGGGAAAGATGTTTTTATTCGCCTGCACCATCAACATTTTTCAGCACTATATTTTCCAAAAAGAGATGGAAAGTCAGGTGATGAATGATAGTTGTTACATAACCATTACCTGTAATGGCTTTGTTTGTTTTATTTATTTATTTATTTTGAGTTGTTAATGGACCTTTATTTATTTATTTATATGCAGTGTTGAGAATCAAACCCAGTGCCTCACACATGCCAGGCAAGTACTCTACCACTGAGCCACAATTCCAGCCCCTTGTTTTCCCTTTTTGGAGTGCTGTGGACTGATCCCAGGGCTTCACAGAAGCTAGGCAAGTGCTCTACCACTGAGCTATAACTCTATACCCTCCTCTAGGTTTTAATCAAAAGAATTCCACCAGAATAAAGCATGCAATAGTATACAGCACTTTTCCTCTGGAAAAACCAACCAAGACCCTCTGGAAGACTGGTAGAACTGTGCCATTGTAACCAACATCTGGTATCCAGACAAAGTAAAGATGGGCCAGGACTATACTCCTCAGTGGTATCTGGTGTAAGGAAAGCAAGGAATATGGAGACATAGATTGTCACTCTTGCCAGCAACGCTCCAGAAGTTATTCAAAAACAAGAGAGGAAAGGGATGTTTATAAGAGACTCTAAACACATCCATCTGATATTGGAGGACAAAAAAAGGAAAATGTTCTGCAATGAAGGAAATTTGGGGTGAGAGTGAAGTCCAAACAAGTTTGGATTTGTCCAGGCAAGACACTGCAGGACTAGTAGCAGGCAAGAATACACAAAGAGCATGAGGAGGGTGCATCCTCTCTGGAATTCTTTGAGCTATAACAGTGCTGTCTTCCTCACTCATTTGAATGCATTATTCACCTCTGTATCTTAGGAGCTCAGCTAAAATGGGATTAAAAAAAAAAATCCAACTGGCAAGACTCCCACAGGGATTGAGCTAACCACTTGGCTGGAGAAAGAGTCTTGGATGTGATAGCATGTAAACTTAGACAAGCCTTCAGCTACTATAGAGATATATTGTCTTGGTATCTGTTCAGGGAGCTGTAACAGAATACCACAAATCGGGTGGCTTTTAAACAACAGAAATATATTTCTCATACTTTTGGAGGCTGGGCATCCAGAATCAAGGCCCCAGCAGATTCAGTGCTTCTGTGGGCCCACTTTCTCACATGCTTCCTCCTTAGCTCCTCACTCAGCCTGCCAGAAGCAGGGCTGGAGCTTTCTGGGGTCTCTTTTATAAGGTCACTAACCATGATTTAGTCTCCTCCTAAAGGCCTCGTCTCCCAGTACCATCACACTGAGGATTAGGTTTCAACACATGGATTTGGGGAAACATATCATCCACTAATTTTCATGGGTCATAGCAAACTCAAGGGAAAGATGTAGAACGCTTTTTAAAATCTAGGTTCTGATACATACTGAAAGGGTATGAATAAGGACAGTGGTGGTTAAACTGCAGAATAGACAATGAAATCCCCTATCATGTGCTAAGCACAAAAACAGGTCTAAGAAAAGAAATCCAAAAGCCAGGCTTGTGGGGCACACCTATAATCTTAGTGACTCAGGAGATTGAGGCAGGAGAATTGCAAGTTTGAGGCCAGCCTGGGCAACTGAGAGAGGACTTGTCTCAAAATTTAAAAGAAAATATTTTAAAGGTCTGGGGATGTAGCTCAATGGTAGAATGTCCCTGGGTTCCGCCCCCAGTACTGAAAAAAAAAATTTTAAAAACCCAGAAAGAATGGCCCAGTGGGCCCAAGCACAGAGTGAAGCTGGACTTGAATCCATCCTGACCTAACCCTCAGAAGTCCCGTATGTATGCTGGGCAAAAAAAAAAAAGGCTATGTGTAGTTGTGGGATTTAAAGAGAAAGAGAGAGAGAGAGAGAGAGAGAGAGAGAGAGAGAGAGAGAGAGAGAGAGAGAGAGAGAGCAGGAAGGTATACTAATAGGATAGAGGCTACTGTCATAAAATTATACAAGAATGACAAAGAGACGCTGATGGTAAATCACAAAGACTGTTCCTAAAGTCTTGGACATGAAGAGCAGGTAAGCACCACCATTCAAGTGCCAGAAGACGGCAATGGTGATTGCCTGGGACTGTAGCAGAAGCATCACGGGGACCACACTGTATGTAGTCACAGAGCATAGGCGCAGCTTGGGGCTAGTCATGGCATGCAGGAAGGGAGGAATAAATGATGTAAAGGAGAAAGGGAGTTGAGAGTCTGTCAATTTGGGGTATTGACAGAAATGTTAAATAGATCTTACAGGCTGTTGGAGCCCATGAGAGGTATATGTGGAAATACCGTGTATAGTAGTCCCCCTATATATCCATGGTAGGTACATTCCAGATCCTCAGTGTGTGCCTAAAACTGCAAACAGTACCAGATCTTATATATTCTTCCTATACATAAATACCTATGATAAAACTAAACTTATATATTAGATACAGTAAAAAATTAATAATAATAACTAGTAAAAAAAAAAGACAGAACAATTATAGCAATACACTGTAATAAAGGTTAAATGAATGTGGTCTTTCTCCCTCTCTAACTGCCATGGGTGAGTCATAAATATAGCCTGGACATCTTAAACAAAGGAATGATTTGTGTCCTGGGTAGGATAGAGCTGGGTCATCTGAGATTTCATTATGCTACCCAGAATGGTGGACAATTTAAAACTTATAAATTATTTATTTTTGGAATTTTCTATAAATATTTTTGGATCACAATTGACTGAGGTAACTGAAACTGAAAAGTGAAGCCATATATGATGGCACTGTAGAACATATGCAGGGAGAGTACTGTCTGCTCAAGCTGCCATAACAAAATACCAGAGACCAGGTGCCTGAAACAGCAGAAATGTATTTTCTCACAGTTCAAGATGAAGATACTGTCAGAGTTAGTTTCTGATGAGGCCTTTCTTCCTGGCTAGCAGACTTTGGTCACCCTCAGGTCTTGACCTCACATAATCATTCCTCTGTGTGAAGAGAGAGAGAGAGAAAGAGAGAGAGAGACCGACCTCTGGTGTCTCTTCCTCTTCTCATATGGGTGAAGGTCCTACCTTATAACCTCATTTGTTATTAAATACTTTCCTAAAGGCCTTATCAGTCACTCTAGCAATTAAGACTTCAACACAGAAGTTTTGGGGGACACAATCCAGTCCATAACAGGCAGTCAGAAAGCCAGAATGGACCTTTGTGAATGAACCTAAGAAAAGGAAAAGTTCCAGAGTTCTACTTCATTCCTCCCTGAAGGCTAAGGTGGCCCTCTACCTTCCAGGGTTCAAGCATTACCTGTGAATAAGAAGGCTCATTGCCCCAGTAAGAAGCCCATTCCCCTCTCTCCATGCCCAAGAAGTATCTTAACTCATCTTATGGTCTAGTGAGTATCTAAACAAAACAAAACAAAAAAAAGTGTGCATCACATAAACTTATACTCAATTTATACAGACTATAATTTCTTTTCATGGAAAAAATTTTGAAGAAATCTCTTTTTGAAAGTATAGATGAAAAGAATTGAGGAGCATATGAATTCTGAGCATTGTGAACTTTCTTGGACTTTAAGGAATATTCATCCTACTTCAGATTCATGCTATTAATACTATTGCTAAGTTTGTCTAGTACTTCAGAAGACATAGGAGGAAAGATATGAATGTCATATTAGTATGTTGTATCGTGCCCTTTAAAAATAAAACAATATGGGGCTGGGGCTTGGGCTGGGGCTCAGTGGTAGAGTGCTTGTCTCACATGTGTGAGACCCTGGGTTCCATTCTCAGCACCACATAAATAAAATAAAGGTATTGTGTCCACCTACAACTAAAAAAAAATATTTTTTAAAAAAAATACAATATTTTATGATTTTTCCCCCCAAAGGAAAAAGGAAAACCAAAAACACACCAACATTTCGTACCAAATGGCTTTTTGTTAAGAACAAGTCAATGGGGAATGATATTGGTCACATTATACCAAGTACATGTATAAATATGTAATGATGAATCCCACCATTCCATACAATTAAAATGCACTAATAAAAAAAAATACCGAGACAAAGGAACGAGTTAAAGAGCATAGAAGAATGCTATGTATACGTATGCAAATAACTTCAGTTAGGTAGCACTGAAAATTGTTGTCCCCCAAAGTAAATGAATATTTAATATCCTTGATTTGTTCTCTTTTAGAACCTAGATGAGACTCATGGACAAAATGGCATCTAGGTCCCATTGCACGCAACATAAACCAATTCCAACTTAAGCAAAAAGAGAATCTTACAGAAAATAGACAAGTCACAGGAATGAAGAAAAGATTCTGGCCTTTGAAAGGACAGGCTTCTGAGGAGGAAAGTTTTAGAGCTCTAAAGAGCTTGACCCCATGGACACTCTGAGGTCACTATTGTGATAAATCACAACTGCAATATCCTACTAGGAAGTCCGATTAGCAAACATGGGTCAAACCATGCCCATTTGATTAATAATTCCACCAACGCTGCACATGGGGGAATGATCATTTTTAAAAGCGGTATAGGGTGCTGTTAGAAAGATAGCAGAATACAACAGTCACTAGTATGGCAATATGTAAAAATGTGGATGTGTAACCAATGTGATTCTGCAATCTGTATACAGGGTAAAAATGGGAGTTCATAACCCACTTGAATCAAATGTATGAAATATGATATGTCAAGAGCTTTGTAATGTTTTGAACAACCAATAAAAAAAAAGGAAAAAAAAGAAAAATGGGAATGAACACTGGAAAGGAAAAAAGCAATTGAAATAGGAGCAACTGCTTAAGATAGACTTGAATGTTGGTTATGGAGGAATCAGAGTATTCGTACTGAGAATAAAAAAATTTCACCCTGGTTTTCTGTGCCACAAATGACCTTCGAGGAGATCTTCAACCTGTGAACATAAAACAAAACCCAGAAATCAGGATACTTCAAAAAAGCAGCGACCATCTGCCTAGCTAGCTGTATTTACATATTGGTCCAGTGTCTCTCTTCTTGGAAAGATTTCTGTGCCCCTTTCCTGGTTTCATGCAGCTGCCACTGCTACTTTATCACCTTTCTGAGTTTCAGTATGATCTTCATTTGGTTTTCAGATGCCCACAGACCTACTCACCAGCCCAGGTATCCCAACAATGCCAGAGCCACAGCCGTAGTGTCTTAGTTTTAGTGTCTAGTCATACAGCTGCCTGGAACAATATGGAAATGACACTTCAAACTAACTATTCTCTAATCTTTGGTGCCCAGGCATTGTGACCTCAGCTACCACCATGAGACCCCCGTGCCAGTCAGACTGTATGGATCTCAGCAACAACTAATTCTTGTGATGTGATCAAGAAAAATCTAGCAACAGATGAAGCTGACTTTCAACTCTGTTTGGGCATTCTGAAGTCTGGGTTGCTTTTGAAATGGCTCCCTTAAAGACCAAGTGAGGACAAGCCAAGAGTTCTGGGCAATACTTCAAAAGTCAACAGCTGCTCTGCACTCCTAGTCAATCCCAATTTGCCACTTGGCTGCTTGCTGATGAGCTGCTTGTATGAGTATTTGATCGCACCACAGTGTGTTCCCTAGTGCACTCGTTGGCTTGTCAAGCTTTGGGCACGTATCTGGTACCCCAGAAGTTTGGCTTCTCAGCAAAACAGCTTGTTATAAGGGAAAGAGTATTTGATTGGAAGTCCAGAGTCCAGGCTCAGGTCTGACTGTCCCTAATTACTTGTGTGGTCTCTGGGCCTTATCTTTGGGTTTTGTTGTTGTTGTTGCTGCTGTCATTGTTAACATTATGATGTGAGTTTTAAACATAGACAAAAATAGAAAGAAAAAAATCATGATCCCCATGCATCTATCATCTGGTTTCAATAGTTATCAACTTGGGATCAATTTTTATTCATTCATATCCTACCTCATCTTCTGGGTTATTATCAAACAAATCCCAGACTCATATCATGATATAAATAAATACTTTGGTATATATATATATATATATATATATATATATATATATATATATATCTTTAAAAGATGAAGATTACTTTGTTTTTTAAAAAAATTCTAATACTAAAAAACTTAGCAACAATTTTTCCAAATATTCAGTGTTCAAATATCTCTGTCAAATTTTTGTTTTGATTTCTGTTTTGTTTTACTTTGTTTTGAGACAGGGTCCACTCAATTGCCCAAGCTGATCTCAAACTCCTGATCCTCCAGCCTCAGCCGCCTGAGCTGGGATTACAGGTGGCATGCATCACTGCCCCTTGCTTTTAATTGTCAAACTCATGAAAAAATACTTTGGGAATAGGATCCACATGCTGTCCATAAAATTTAATTGTTGAAATGTCTTGTAAACTATAGATTGTCTCCCTCTCTGTCCTTCTTTATTTGGAGAAAGGGAGAGAAGATCATCTGCCAATAGGGTTACTCAATCCGGACTTTGCTAATTGCATGGTTATGATGATATTTAATATGCTTCTCTGTCTCTTGAACTTCCTGTCTAGATCCCTTATTTTATTAAGGGTTGCAAAATATTGATATGCTAATTCCTTCTAAAGATAGAAGGCTAATTTCATGCCTTCTACCTTTACTAGCTGGGTACTTCTAAGAACAAACTTCGCCTTGGGAAATATTTGGTTACCCTGTTACCCTGAGTTATAGCTATATAGAAAGATGAGATACATACTTAAATCTTTCTCTGTTTTTACAAATTTCTAAAAATAATGAATTATTTCTCCAGCTTCCTCCAAAGGAAAATGGTGAGGTCTTGTTTGTTTAAAATCATTACATATTACTGGGTTCAAACATATTGGCTTTTATTCTTATTTCTGCCCAAATTGGCAAGTGGGTTCTTCTTCAATTAGACTATGAAGTCCTTGCAACATAATCCCAAAAGTCTTTAATAACTTTCTTGGTCTTTGGTATATTAAAATCTTGTCCATTTCACAAAACCTACGATTAGTCATTTTTCCAAGTAGTTCTGCCTTTTATATACTCAAAATGAGAATTTTTAGAATTTGCATTATTAAAAATGTGAACAGATACAAAAGCAAGGAAAATGACAATAAGATCTATTGCTGTTTATGTGTAACTCAATTTCGACAATGATAACCTCAGGTGAATTTTCTTTGTCCATGTTCACACCTACTTCTTACCCACCACCCCATTTCTTTCCACTGGATTAATTTAAGCAAATCCCTGTTTTTATATCATTTTATCTCAAGATATGTTGATGTGTTTCCAAAAGAAAGTATCTTTCCCCTCCCTTCCCTTCTCCTCTCCTCTCTTCTCTTTTCACTCTCTTTCTCTCTCTCTGTTTCCCTCTGTCACTACTATTCTTAGGAACTCCTGATTTTAAAAAATATTTAATATAATTAGTCTATAGATTGATAATCTGGTGTTGAAATTTTCCCAACTTGGATAGTAGGAGCCTCTTTAGTCATGTTCGTCAGAACTTTTGACATAACCCACTAGTTTTTGAAAACCATCTTGATTTCTTGATATGTCAAGATGTTTCTGGTACATATTGTACTTTTTACCCCCAAAAATAAGCCATTTTGCCAAAGGAAGTGAAAATATTTGGTTTAATGAGTGCTAGTCTCTTTCAGTCATAAAACAAATTGGTTTTATGATTCTCTAACAAACATTTAAAATATCTTAGAAGATTCTACAGTCATTTTCAAATTAATAACTAGTTTTTCACAATAACAAAAAATAGATGAATCTGTGTTTAGTACTTTATAGTCCTGTCATAAGACAAAGGCTGTCATATAATACTGAACTACAGACTCAAATAAAGCCAACTCTTTGCAAGGTGTAATATAGCTCATAAAATACTTTTGTGTTTGAAATAATTCTAAAAATGGAAGCATGATGTCAGAATTTAAAATTAATTATGAAATTTAAAATTGACTAGGAAATTACATTGCTTACCATAGGCTCAGAATCAGCTAGACTATGCAACAATGGCAAACAACTCCCAAATCTCAGCAGTTTATAACAGGAAAAGTTTACTGTTTACTTAGTAGGCCTGTGCCTACCAAGTGAGACATTTTTTGAGGGTGTTGACCTCCATATATCAGCTTAACATTCCAGGTCACTTAAATCCCATTTTCCCTCTACAGCATCAGGAGCCTCCATGACCATCAGGGTAGAGGAAGAAAGAACTTGAGGGTTGAGTATGAGCAAGTAAATGCATTACCCTGAAGAGATGCTCATATGTAATTGCCCATAGAAAGACACATATCCATGCCTATTTTAAGAGGACACATCTTTCATGTGCTACATAGGATAGATGAGCTAGTTCCATCAGTTAAAACTTGCAAAGTTATTCACTAAAAAATGTTAAGAAAATGCATGAAGTGAGAAAAAAAAGTGGTATGGAAAGAGACAGACAATGTAAATTAAATCAGGAGCTGTTTTGTTGTCATACAGAGTTTGAAGACATAATTTTAAGATGGACTTTATGAGAGAAGGAAAGACTTTTACCCAGAATGCTTTCTGGCTATGGCAATTACCTTTGCTTCTAATCCAATACACACACACATAGTGTCAGTGTACGTAGGCACTAGTGAACACTGCTATTGACAGGAAATCAGAGTGAAATCAAAAACATGTACATTTGTTAGTTAAAAAAAAAAAAAAAAACTAAAAGAGCTAAAGCCCTTCTACACAGTCCGAATTTATTTATTTTATTTTTTAAATGAAAACTCCTTATATTAGTTTCCTATGGCTGTGTAACAAATAAGCACAAACTGGATGGCTTAAAATTGAAGAAATTTATTTACTCACAATTCTGGAGTCCAGAAATATAAATCAAGGTTTCAGTTGAGGCTGCAGAGAAGATTCTATCTCCTGCCTTTTCTGTTCATGGGGACTGCTGCCATCCCTTCCCTGTGACTGAAGCCCTCTGACCTTTGCCTCTGTTTCCACAGAACTTTTTCCTGTGTTCACATCCTCTATGTATCTCATAAAGACCTGTCATTGGATTTAAGGACAGCTGAACAATCCAGAATAAGCTCTTCCTTTCAGGAAACTTAAGAAGGTCTGAAAAGATTCTTTTTCTAAATAAGGTAATGTCTGCAATCCTCAGGGTTGGGAAGTGACATCTTTTGGGAGGGTGGACAAGAGTGGTCACCTCTCCATCTACATCATCTCCACACAGAAGTGTAATACATGAGACAAGAGAATACATGGGATCTGTGTTCTGGCTAGTTGAACTCCAGATTTAAAGAGCTTAGCATGTATTTCTAATATAAAATTAAACTGAACAGAAAAATAGAAGAAAGCATAGGCCCTGAAAGGAAAGCAGAGAAAACATCCTCAGTCTCTGAAGTGCTGCAGGTTGAATGTGGGTTGAGCCAAAAATCCAAGCAACATCCTGCAGTGCGTTTTTTTTTTTTTTTTTTTTTTTTTTTTTTTTTTGTCTTTTTAGTAGCACTGGGGGGTGGTGGTGGAGGGGTGGGTGGGAGAGATAATAACACAAAAACTTTGAGTTATTCGGTAGTTGAATTTCACTACTAAGCCTGATTAAATCAAATCTAGATGAATAAAAATAAGTATAGGTTTTATAATTTTGGAGATACTCTTAAGGTATTCAGGAAAATGTACTTACAGGAACATCTCTATTCTCAGTGATTCTGGGTAAATGACGTGTGGCTGTAGCTTCATGGTTAAATTATAAGCTATTATGTATTATGACATGATTGAATATATGCCACTTCAAAGTATGCCCAAGATAAATGACCCATATTTCAAGTTAAGCTTTTTACATTAGAAAAGAAGACAACAACCTTGGACCATTACTAAATCCCAGAGCAGAAAGACTGATGTATCACATATTCTAAATATCATTGAGCTGAAGGCAATGAAATTTGTTACATACTATGATATCTGAGAATGTATGTGAGCATT